GTTACATCAGGTCACACTGTGCTCACACTTTAGTGTCTGTGTTGAGTAACAATAATAATCTTCCAAAGACAAAGAAGCAGCTTTATGTAGCACACAGGACTTCATAAGTGACTTCAAAGCTGAGCAGTGTTCATGAGACTTGTGACGGGAGGCTGTTCGTCCATCCTGCACGTGCGGCTGTTTAAATATCTGTCTGCTTTTGAACATGGAGCACACCTCCCAGTTTAAATGCATCCCTGACTTCAGTTGCATGTGGACGCTGGCAGCACCTGCAGTTTGATCTGTGGTGGATAAACTTTCACCTCATGCAACCTTGTTTATAAAGCGGGTGTAGCTGCCAGTGTTATTAACAGTTAGATGCCAGTTTTGCAGGCTGTGACTCACCCCGAAAGACACAGCTGCTCATAAGAGCGCGAAATGAAGAGGTAGTCAGCGATCAGCATCTGTGAGGTGGTTTCACAGCCCCAAGTCTCTGTGCTGACTTCATAAATCCAGCTTTGCACTTCATAATCGTTGCATTATTTGCCTCAGTGCCTGTATGCTTTGTGAGTAATGCTCGAATACTACGAAATTAGTATTTCTATGTGTTTTTGATTCTGTGACAGCCTCTCGTGATTTGATTGGATTCATATAAAACACCTTCCACAGATGCACCGCAGCCTGAGCATTTCTGCACGTTGGAGCTGAAGTTGAAGTCCAAATGAGTTAAATCAGACATTAAAGCTAAAGCTGTCAGTTTGCCAGTGAACGGTCTGTGAAACTTTGATCACGGCTGATGAGAAGAGGAGCTCACGATGCAGTCAGAAACAAAACAGCACCACTAACAGGCTGATCGGAGGTGCAGGGCACTGGGTATGTTCTGGGCGTAGGATTGTTGTCTGCTGTGAGTAAAGACATGTTACATCAACAATATTTATTAAATCATTCCAAGGACCATAATAATGTACAAACATGAAATAACTTAAAACACATGAGGTTACAGAGACAGTGGTGGATAAACGAGCAGGAAACACCTTCTTCTTCTTCAGATTTGTCTGGTGAAGCTTTGCAGCCTCTGCGGTGGACACACACCGAGTGACACACGCCGAGTGACACACACCGAGTGACACACGCCGAGTGACACACGCCGAGTGACACACGCCGAGTGACACACGCCGAGTGACACACGCCGAGTGACACACGCCGAGTGACACACGCCGAGCAGAGGAGGCTGATCTGAGGCAGCAGCAGAGCGTAAACAGAGATATTCCCTTTGTTTCCCATCAGAAGCTCAACTTCTAACAGGTCAGCTGATATCAGTGCACAGCAGGACGCCACTATTGGCTGGATTGTGACTGACACATTTGAGAGGTTGCTCACTCCAGAGCCAGTGGGCGGAGCCTCACCTGGCCCAGCCTCACACTCCCACATCGACATCCTCTGATGCACGATCAACCCCGTGAGTCGTTTTTAGACCTACGACCTCAACGTTAGTGGGTTGTAGGGGTGGCAGTTTCAGAAGTGGTTAAGCTCAGGCACTAAAGGGGTCATTTACAGGTCACACACAGTAACCAATGAAAGGCAGGCAGCACGTTTGGAGACAGCCTCTGGTGGACATTAGAGGAACTACAGCTCCATTTTTCAGCCTCAGAGGCTGGAGTCCAGGGAGGTGGGAGGTAGGCTCTGTAGGGAGCAGCACTCGTTAAAAAGTGGCGTTAACTATTTAACCATTAGTGACTCTTCCAGTGTTTAGTCTTCTTCTATTATTACTCAAACAGCTGCTGACACCACTGCTGAGCAGTTTTCCTTGTCTGATGTAGTGTCTACTTTATAAAGTTGGTTTTAGTCCAGTGTGATGTGAACGGAGGGAACACAGAGTTCAGTATTTACAGCCAGAAACACCTGGTGTGATGCTAACAGTCTGAGAACAGGAGGATTTGATGCTCTTGCACCGTCACAGTTAACAACAATCAGCTTTAAAATCCCAGTTGGTCAGTAAAAGGCTGTAAACAGCTTTTAGGAAATTAGCTTTAAAAACTCTAAAACAAACATTCTTGTGCTTGTTGATCTACAACAAAGTTTGTGCTGTCATTAAAAATGGTTCATATAAAAGAAAGCACCGTAACAAACCACAGAAAACTCAAAAAAAGAGGAAGACTCTGAGGGAACGCAGGGCTCACGCCTCTCAGCTCTCTCCTTCTCCTTCATCCACTTCCTGCTTGATGACCGGAGTTCCTGAATAATGCAGAAGAAGAGATCAGTTGCGGGCTGCAGCTCGGCACTATGATCCGTTCCTGCTCTGAAACACTAGTACCGTCCAGTTTCTTCAGATTAGGGAGTCTCTTCGTGGCCTCGTCCATCCACGTCCCCTCGGCCGAGTGTTTCTCCTCCAGAGGATTTCCGACAAACACGAGGTCAACGAGGCACGGCAGCTCCGCCAGCCTCACAAACTCTCCTGCAACGCACGCAAAACACAACATTCACCACAGCAACTTCACAAATCAACGAGTTAAAAAAACAACGCTGGATTCAAGAAAAATAAAAACTTATTTCACCTAAAGAAAACTTTCACAGTAGAACAGCAGCAGGCGCACCGGCGCTCTATAGATACGTTAGTAAATCTTAAAACACGGACTTGAGTAAATATCAGCCGACTGTCCTCCATGTTGTCCTACAGCTGATAGCGCTCTGCTCGATTATAAATCCCACTTTAGAGGACCACGACTGTCATCACCAGCTACAGTCCAGCATGGAGGAGGAGGAGGCTGTCTGACCGAGGGAGCGTCCAGAATCAGATCAGCCTGCCGGTGAGCAAACAGGAAGGCCTGGAGCTCGATGGTTACCAAACACTGTGTTATTAATAATATGATAGAGCTTTAATGCAATTGCACAGCAATGTGCCATGCTCCGGGTGTTTCACAGAGGGGAAATGATAGAAGTTTTATGAGTAATGCTCGAATACTATGAAATGAGTATTTTGATTTGTTTTGCTGCTGTGAAGCCTCTGGACGCTATAAACACTACACAGCTTATACGAAAGGCAGATTTCAGTCAGTGAACATAATCAGCACCACCTTAAATATAAACTGATGTAACAATAATTCACCACAGTGCAAGACTGAGATCACCAAAATCAAAATCATTCCTGCCTGTGACCATCTCCCTGTACAACTCCTCCATCTAATACACATAACATGTTGTATTGTTAAATAGTCTAGCCTGGTTTTGTTCATGTTACCGTGCCTAAGCAACTGTAACCCACATAATTTCCCTATCGATTAATAAAGTAAGCTGATTCTGATTCCTGTAAACTTCATCACATCACTGCAAACTAACCAGTTCGGTCTGCACTAAACTGGCTGGTATGTTCATCCAGAAAATCAGTAAAACTAGTTTGTTTTGCAAGAAATTTAACAAAAACACAATTCAGAGAAACACAATGTTTCTCGTTTGATTTATAAACTAAACTAAAATGAATGAGGCCAATACATGTAAGATCTCGCAGTCCTGAGTGTAAAAATAGTCTCTTATCTGCCCCTCCTGTCCTCTTTCATCTTCCTCCATCCATCTCACACATTGACATTTTTTCTCTCCCTGGAAAACAAAGCAACTGTTCATTTATCTCTCAGACAAACTGCAGACAAAGTGTTTGTGTGTGATCATTGTCGAGCTGTTTGAAATCACCTGACACTTATATAAATATTACTCTATTCACGCTCGCTAGTCTTTTGTAGCTGGCTAAAGGCGCAGCAACGGCAACTTTACATCGGCACCATGAACCCGTCACAGCGATGAAGGAAAAAGGACCGCGGGATGTTTTTGTGTTCTTATTACTGAGCGAGCATCACCACACCTGCTCTAACCCCCGCTTACCCCAGTCTTTGACCAGGTTGTTGGACATGTAGAGGACTTTCAGGTTCTTCAGGCACTGGATTCCCTTCAGCTTCTCTATCTGGTTATAAGAGATCCACAACTCCTCCAGTATGTCACCTACAGCCTCCTGCTCACACGCACACACGCACACAC